AATGAATCGAAATGTAACATATGATACTACAGAAAAGATCAATAGGAATGTGACACATTTTTGCGACGAGCAGAACGGTCTTACTTGCACAAGCAACAGCGGGCGTAGGTCCACTTGAAACTTCTGGCCAGAATGTCACCGATATTGCTGAGGTAGAGAAGGAAAAGCGGCATCCCTATTATTGCGTACACTATAGTCGCGATTTTGCCCCATTTCGTCTTGGGACAAAGGTTGCCATAACCTGCGCAGTTAAACGAGAACACGGCAAGTGAGTTTATCGACAAGCTTCATTTCGGTGCTTGTTTCTTGCTTTATACCATTCTACAACTATCCGCGAGCTGATTCATTTATTATTAATTTATTGCCCGCGGTGTTCTGATAGAAACCCATATAATATCATATTGTTCGAATTATTAATTACGCAAACACACGTGATTAAAATATTTATTCCAAAGAAAAAGAAAGAGTATACCAAACGTATGAATTCACTTTCATGATTAAAACAAGAATCTCTTAATGTACGGATTCTGTTCATTTAAAATATTGTTATGTTCTAAGGATAATTTATTTGTATATTTAGACAAAAAATATTTAGACAAAAAATAACTAATATCTCGATATATTTTTAAATTATTTCTGCACAAAGTTATCCGCACTATATTTATTAGTGCGGATTAAGCTTGTCCTCGGATAGCTACGAAAACTTTACTATCGCAACGATATTCATAAAGTATCAATTGTCTTCCAAGTGATTCAACCGGACGTTGTTTCAACAGACATATCCGTGAGAGTTTGACCGCATGCTACTGAAAGTTTCAGGTTTATCTCGTGGGAGACGTAAACAATCTCGTGGAATCTACTTGGACATTTTCATGTTTTATAAGGTAGCGAAATATAGTGTTCTATAAACTGAGCAAAAGTCTTTAAAAAAGAAAAGGAAACATCACGAAATTCCATCCACGCCTTCATAAAGCAGAAATAATTTTCCACGGAATTATAGAAAGATCATATTCACACGAAGCGTCGCGAAGACTAGTCATAAGCAACAATGTCGTTTGTTAAGGCAAATTGTTTAATCATACCTGTTTGCGTTAGTTTCTCTCGTTGCAGACCGAATTCGACTTTTTACATAAATCTTTTTCTTTCAAAGAGAATCCTATCTCAAAGAGGATCTTCCTACCAATATATAATAATAATCTGGCAATCTACTGACTATTATCGCGATCGGTTTATCGAGTAACGACTTTTGTTGATATTTCCTCGTTTTAATTTGGTCTCTATTTCGGCCATTTATCATTCGCAAAAGAAGCAAAAAGTATGCACCAACAAATTTTAGTCCAGTGCCAAAAAAACTGTCGAATTGATGTACGATACCAGGGATGAATCCGAGCATGCTTTGTAACCGCGCGAAGTCGCCACGAAAAAAAGCTTGTTCAGCTGCTCTTTTTTCCATACACGTACACAAATATGCGCGAAATAGAGAAATAACAAAAGGGAAACGTGACGCGAGGATATATATTCAGCATGATTTTTCAGGAAAACTACATCTCTCGCATGCGAAATGACCAATTCCGGGATGCACGAAACGTAGACTTTATTATCGAGATTCCGTCTCTCGGATAATCTCGTAATGGCAATTCTTCTTATCTCCATCTTGCGTTAAACAATGGCCACTGTGCAATACGTACAGTATATGTACATTATAATAAAAATGAAAACTTTTGAAAACCTAGTACATAGGTTTCAAAGTAAAAGGTAACTTTCCGCGAAAAATTAATCTACGCAATAAATTTAGATAACTTTGTAATTTATTCTTTAATTCGCTTATTCGTATTACAATTACGCAATCAGATGGCGTAATTTTCATTTTGTATTGAAAAAAAATGATGATATAGTTATAGGAAAAATTATCTATCTTTTGTTTCGACAAAATCAAGGACCGTGTAATTTTTTCTCTTTGTCTTCTTTTCTTTCGGCATTTTTTCACAATTTTACATTTTGGAGGGAAGGGAAGCAGCGATCGCGTTAATTTTCGAGAATCGACACTCACGCCGATGATTTATGGCATGGTCGAATCAAAATGAACGTCCGATCGCGTGAACGCGTCTTTTAGCGACGATAAAACGGTGGCGCCGACCGATTGTATATGACAGCGATAAAACCTCTACAGTAAATCGACGCGTTTAAAGCTGCGTCTACGCGGACACTGCGAATATTCCATATTCACGACAACGTTTTATAGCGTGTGTGTTCCGCTTATTTCGCATCGAAAATACGATGTACGCACGAAAGATAGAACGCGCTTGAGACAATTCTTTCTACATATTTAATTTAATGCTTAATTTTAAGTACTTAAATTTAATTTTGATATCTTTTTAATAAATATATTTTTAGCACAAAATTTCTAGATCTCGTCATATCTTACATGCATTTTTGTCGATTTATTTTACCTCTGTTGATTGACTAAATCGTATGACTTTATCATCAATGAAATTGAAGCGAAAGATAAAAATCGAAACAATTTATCCCCTTTATATAATATCTTTAATTTGAGAGCGCGAATTGCGTTTGTTCACACGAAAATGATGTACTATTCACGCACTATACACGTCCATAAAAATCCTCTCATGCAATTCGTAACGAGTCGGATCAGAGTCGTTGCGGAATCGGCTATATCCCGACGCAATATCCAAAACTCTATACGGCAGAAAGCGTCGAAAGAGATTTTCTCGCGCATCCAATAAACAATATGTGCCATTGCGGATGGCATGCAGCGACTGATTTTTTAGCGTTATTTTTTAATGCTTGTCCGCAAACGAATAAACGCAACACCGATTTTGTTAATCTAATAATTGAGAGAGATTGCGTCTTGATACAATTTTTTTATTCATCTTTCCAAATCTATTGTTACAAAAAAGTAGAAAAGAAAGAAAGCAACTGCAATTGCAAATTGATGCTATTGCAAATTAGTTGCAACTATAATCCGCATCATAAGTATCGATAAATGCTATAAACATAATTTGTGCTCGTTTCATTATGAGATAATTAAAAAGTAATATCTACTCTCTAAATTTCTTAGAGTAAAATCTTACTCCAAAAGAATTAAAATACAGTCAGTATTGAAAAAGAATGAAAAATTTGCACTCTTGAATAAGAGTGGCAGATTTTTACCCTTTTTTGAAGCTTTGAAGTGAGATTCACTTCAAAGAAGAAGTGATATTATTTTTCTTTGAAATGAATCTCACTCCAAAAAAAAGAACGGAAATCTGCCACTCTTACAAATTTTTCACTCTTTTTCAATGCCTTAACTTAAAGCAATATCTTAACTTTTTTGAAGTAAGATTTCGTTTCAGAAATTTAAAGAATAAATAAAATAGAATGTTATTTTCACAATATCATCGTAACACATCAAAAGTAAGTTATTATTATAATAATTATTATATAGTAATATTATATTTTTTAATTTTACAAAGAAATGGAA